TATTATCTAAAACAAAATGAGTAAGATTTAATTATGTTCTGAAATTAGAAAATTATTTACTCGATTAGGAGTTGCTCGGTAATAAACCCTAAAACCAAAAAAATTAGACTTGGACAAAATTAATAGGTTTGGAATAAACTAAATGAGCTTGGACTAAATAAAATGGAATTAAATAGAGTCAATGGACCTAGGATAAATTTAATGGGCTCGAATTAAAGTAATTGGACTTGGGCCTTCTTTTAAATATTAATGAAACTAATGAACAATATTAATGAGCGGAGATTGTGTTCCCGTTGTGGGTATTATGATTGGTATGTGAGCAATGGATAAATTCCGAGTGTGGGTTGGATCGTGAGTATGGTATGAGAATGAAGGGTTGGTATCCGAATTTGGTTGAATGTGATTAAATATGTCATCACGTGCATCATATGCATAGTGGGTGGTTTAAGACAAGTCAATTGATTGAGAAATGGTTTATACATCTAGGTTTGATAACCTAACTAGAATAAATGGGTATTAGTAGTCCGAGTACTCTAGGTCGTGTGCTCGCACTATTACATGATGGATTCTCGCTAATAGCGAGTTACAACGAGGGATAATTCCGTTGTAGCAGAAGATGATCCGAGGATCATCCGGATGAAACCAAGTTATGTGCTTGCACTTGTTAGACGATGGATTTCGCTAACAATAGTTACAACGAGGGGTAATTCCGTTATAGCGAGAAGGTGATCTGCGGACCACACGGATGATAAATAGAGTAGACTGGCTAATACCTAGGGTACCCGAGATTAAAATTTATGAGTATGGTGGGAAGTCAAAATAATATTGCATATCACGTGCATCACCTCACTTACCGAGCTTCGACTCACCCTATTGTTATTTTTTATGTCATGACGAGAAAAAGGACAAGTTGGTACGGATACGGTCGGCTCCTCCTAACCGGCTCATATGAGGCACCATATATTAGTTTTTATTTTGTACGTAAATTTAGGGTATGGAGTTCGTGAAAAATTAAATATTGTACGTAATGTTTTATTAATGTATTTAATTATGTGATGTAAATTTTATCTTAAGGAGTTATATACGTAATGTCTTGTTAAAGTTTTAAGAATATCATAAGAGAACTACTTAGAGTTTAGGGTATGTCGGCGTAACGCGTTTCGTCTAGTACTCTACTTGGGTAGTAGAAATATGATCAGGGCGGGGACGTTACATCATGACTACCTAATTCTTTATGAGGAATAATTAATCTATTATTACCTTTCACGAGCATGGTTATCATACAATTCGGTCTTCATTTCAACTTATCATAGTGTGATCTTGAACTTGGGTATAAGTCTTATTCGATTATGATTACATAAGTTTTCTTCGATTCCCAAATGCCTTAGCTCTTAGAGTAAACTACCTATGCTTTATTGGTGTACTCCTATTGTGATCATAGATTTCTTGAGCGGACATTCATCGAAGTGCAATATGATAACTCCTTTAGCATACAAGGAATGACATATTCTATCTATGTCATACACCTACCTCCATTAGATTCTTAGTGCATCCAACAAGCTGTCCATGTGCAACCCTTTATTAGGTCTATCAAAATGAGTGTTAAAGTGCATAAATCTTCTAATGAAAAAATCATGATGACATTAAATCTAAGGACCAATTGTACCTATCTTGTATAAGATTATGATAGACTAAATCAAATGGGTTCTCATGACAAGTCAAATCTAGTGATATGTTCTCTAACATAAATCACATAAGTGATTGTTTTGGCATCACCATGTCAATAGTTGTGAGATTTACTACTATCATATAGTATGAGGATAACATTCACAAGTCTATCCGTATATAGTCAATGTTCATCCTTGACAATGCTATCACTTGGGATGTTTAATGACATTATTTATATGTATTAGTGTTTATCTCATATCTTTCGATCAATCACTATCGTAAATACATATCATAAGTACTTCTATCTAATTCTACTGAATTAATAAACATAAAAAATAAAAATTAATAGAAAGACTTCTTTATTTTTATTAAAATAAATGATGCAATAATACAATAACTCAAGCCTATCCAAACATGGTTGGATCTTGAGCATATACACTAATATTTTTTCGATAATAAAAGATCCACTTTACTCATTCCTAATGCTTTTTTCTTAGATTTGCCACGTATCTACCGATAACTCTCACTACATGATTTATATCATGTTTTAAGCAAATCATAACATACATTAGGCTTCTAATTATTGATTTATAAGGGATCTGTAGACATTTTTGTTTGCTCTTTAACTTTTTTTGGGTGATTACTCTAAAAGTCTAAGGTGGCTTCTCAAAGAAGTGTTTATGCTTCCTATCCCGAAGGTTGAATATGCTTTGGATTTTCTAAATGTACTTTTCTTGAGATAAAGTCAATGTGTCTTTTGACCTATCTTTATTAATTCTCATCCCAAGTATCTATTTTACGAGTCTCAAATCCTTTATCTCAAACTGTTTTAGTAATTGTTGCTTGAGTTTATTGATCTCTTTCAAGTTAAAAGCATATCATTAATATACAAGAACAAAATAAGATAGCGAGTCATCAAATCTCTTGATACATATGACAATAGTGATCCATCTCACATCTCTTAAAGCTGTTATCACACATGTACTAATCAAGCTTTTTGTACCATTGCTTAGGAGCTTGTTCAAACTATACAAAGTTTTCTATATAATTAATCCGTAATTACCTTTCATGGGTATGATTAACATATAATTCAATTCTTTTATCAATTTATCATAGTGTGATCTCGAACTTGATTATTAGTCTATTTGATTATGATCATATAAGTTTTCTTCGATTCTTAAATATCTTAGCTCTTAGAGTAAACCAATTATGCTATATTAGTGTACTCCTACTATAGCCATAGATTTCTTGAGTAGACATTTATCGAAGTGCAATGTGATAACTCCTTTAGCATATAAGGAATGACATATCCTATCTTAGTCTTTTATCTATCTATATTAGATTCCTAGTGCACCCAACGAATCTCCCATGTGTAACCCTTTACTAGGTTCATCGAAACGAGTGTTAAAGTACATAAATCCTTCAATGAGATAAGCGTGATGAATTTAAGTCAAAAGACTAGTTGTATCCATTTCGTATAAGATTCTCATAGACTAAACCAAATGGGTTCTCTTGGCGAGTTAAGTCCAATGATATGTTCCCTAACATTAATCACATAAGTGCTTGCTTTGACATCACTATGCCGGTAGGTATGAGATCTCCTATTTTTATCTTATAGTATGAATTTAGCACTCCCAAGTCTAACTACATATAGCCATCCATTCTTGACAATTCTATGAATTGAGATATTTAATGATATCATTTAAGTGCATTAATGCTTGTCTCATATCTTTTGATCAATCATTAATGCAATACATATCATATGGACTTATATTTAATTATATTCAACAAATATAAACAATTAGAATTAATAAAAAAATTTCTTTTATTAATAAAATAAATAATATAATATTAAAATGAGTCAAACTGATCCAAATAAAGTTAAATCTAGAGCACCTATATTAATAATCTCTCATCGACACTAAAGCTAACTAGCCATGTACCTTATTTTTCATGATCGAGTAAGGATTTCATGTTTTAGTCGTGATAGAGGCTTAGTCAAGGGGTTAGCTATATTATCATTAGTGTGGTTCTTTTTATCCTTATATCATCACAACCGATAATCTCTTTAATCGAGTGGTAGCATCTCGGTATATTCTTAGACCTTTAATGAGACCTTGGTTTCTTTGCTTGCTCCATTATTATCACGGTACAATACTATTGGATCAAAAATGTTAGAAAACTTTAGAGTCGGCCATCAAGCCATGTGACATTGGAAGAAATTCTTTTTGATTCTTTCACACTAAACCTTTTAGTATTATGTCAATGTATCTATCTTGGGAGACCCCTCACATTTTAAATGATCTATTTCTATAGATATCGACTTTTAGAATATAGGTTCCCCTTTCATGTCATATATGGAGAAAATTTTAAATACATAATTTTTAATAGATTGCAACATGATAATGTTATAGTCAGAAGTTATTTGTTTGTTTTCATATAGAATAACCATGAATAGTAAACTCCCTTTAACCAACCTTTTGTATACACGAGGTTGATTTTTGTTTTTGGGCGAGGGTTACTAGGTAGGATATCCTTTCTCTCTTTTTTTTAAGGCCTAGGCTTAATCGAGGTTGCTTGGCTTTTCTACGGATCTGGGCCTTTCTCATTTTTTTAATAAGAACAAACTCACACCTCCATAACATTTTCCTTAGGCCAAACATAAATTAAATAAGAATAAAAAATTATACCTTCCATTTTCTCCATTTATCGGCCTTGTAGCGATTACTAATAGAAGCATATGATTTTGGTAGCATAAATGACATGTTTGGCATCCTAAACTACTAAGAAACTTATGTCCGTGGTTGACGGATCAAATCCTCTATCTTAGCCTCTCCAAATATGATATAAGTCTCAAAGTTCGGCTCTTAAAGGCATTTGACTTTGAGATAAAAAATTGTATATTTTTGGTTCCCTTGATGGTGACCTTGCTAACACTAATAACAAGTTTCATGTCAAGCTTCAACATTACCTTGTGACTCTTTTTTTCACTTCTACTCTGCTTAGATCTCCTATTAGTACATGAGGTGTCATCATCCTCATCATCATCGCCTTCTTATCTTCTTTCACATCCTCTACTCTAGGCTCATCCTCTACCCGGGATCATCCTCATTACGAGAAGGCTTATTTTTCTAGGTCTCCTCTACTTTAGAGATTACCTCCTCGGTGGCGATGGTGGCATGGGATCGGGTTACATGGTTTTGGTTGTTGTTGGCTTTGCTTCCTTGCTTGTGATTTAGGAAAATGTGAGAGAGAGAGAGAGAGAGAGAGAGAGAGAGAGAGAGAGAGAGAGGGTAAGGATTATTGGATGGGGTATGTCAATGGTGATAGTGATGGATGTTATGATAATGGTTATGGTAGTTGTGGAGAAGGCTAGTATGGGTGATGATGGTGGTGAAGTAGAATACATTACCTAAAAGTAATGTGGTTATGAAAATATAAGATAGTAATGGTGGTGGTTTGGGGAAATATACTCACTAGGTGTTTGTGCTTTTACTTGTAAGGGATTGAGGTCATTTTTTCTAGGTGAGAAGAAAAATAGTTATAGTGGTGTGAGTATTGGTGAAGTTCGAGCAATGAAAGAGAGGGATAATGCGATAGCTAGCTTTGGTGATAATTTTGCAATGACTGGTAGTAAGGTGAGTTTGTGGGGGAGCTAGAGTTCGAGTCTATGGTTGCGAGAGGTGTTTAATGGCGAGGGGAGAAGACTACGATTGTGAAAATAAGGTTAAGGCTGGGGATAAGGGTTTCTTGGGTAGAGGATGAGTTGTAATGAGGGAGTTAAATGAAGTTATTTGCACTTAAGAGGAGAAGCTACATATGATGAACTAGAGCCACATATAATAGAGAAAAGTTGGATCATGGCTTTTATAGTATAGGGTTTCTCCTTGTTTTTGATAGTTGACGAGTTAAGTTGTTTTGGTTCAGTTGACTTGAGTTGGATGATTGGGTTATGGTTACCATAAGGTGGTTTGGTGGGAGTTATGTGTTTGGCCCGGAGAATGGGTCATGGTTGGTGAGTTTTAGGTAGTGGAGGGAGATGATTACTCGCTAGAATATTGTTCTTCCAATATCCATATAGCATAACATCAACCTAACTAGATAAAGACTAAGAATACTTGAATAGGAGACTTGCATGGGCATTTTGTTAGGTAAAGTCTCCGGTTGTGGAATGGGGAGTGTAAATTGCTTGTGATTGTTCTAAAGTAGGGCTGCAATGAGAATGTTGGTTGATGTGTTTGGGTGGCGGGTGAGAGAGATAAAGGGTGTTTGGTGCTTACCTTGACGATATTTTCGAGCAAGAAGGATCGAGTTCTTGTGATAAAGAGTGTTGGCTTTTTTTTTTTTTTTAGTTATTATTGGTGAATGGCTATTGGAGGTGGCTTTGGTGATAACATAAATTGTTGTTGGGTGATAATGACGGGAACCATGGTGACTAGGGTGTCTCAATTAGGAAGTGAAGATGAAGGGAGGTGGCTAGAGTTTTTCTTGTAGAGACTGCATCTCTAGGGTTTATTTTTTATTTTTTATTTTTTTATGTTAAGGATAGAGGAATTGTGGAGGTGTTATTAAAATGAAAGGAAAAAGTTGCTTATATAGGGGATTTTTAGGGTTAGGGATGAGTCATTTTTTTTCTCTTATATATATATATTCTTCTTGTCATTTTTTTTTAAAAAGTTTTTGTAGTAAATTTCAAAATAAAATAAAATGAGATAAAATAAAATAAGAAATAAATAAAACAAAAAAAAGGGGGAAAGTTTTGGGTTATGACACTTTCATTCAATTTCTATCCTATTTACTATTAAATTTTTACTCGTGGTTTGATTTGTACTAGATACATGCCCATTTTTTTCTAAACATGTTAAAAATTAACGGTAAACAAAGGAAATTAGATGGAAGGACCATATTAAAAAAATTATATGATAAAAAGACATATTAAATATAAAAGGAATAGAGATATCCCGATAAAAAAATATTAAAAAAATAGAAGCCAAACATATAATTGAAAATAAAAAATATAACGTATAAGTAGTAACAAAGTATAGCAATAAAACATTTCTAAATAACCTTTGAGAGCATTAATCTCAAAGGAAAATTTTTTATTTTTTTAGACCTTGGTATAATCGAGTTTTCTATTTACTCCTTGAAAGAAGAGATCAATATTGATATATCCAATATATTTGGATGATACATATCACCCCACAATCTCTTTTCTATCTTATCTATCCACCAAGACAAAAGTTTGGGAGAATGGAATCACACTCCAAATATAGACGGACGGACGCATAAACTCTATTAAGACACACCTATTAGGAAAACTTAAACGGCCATAACCCGAACGGTCTAACCAACCTCCACCAAGCAAGAAATGAGAAAGAATACATCTACTAAATAATAACATGCTTTCAAGGGTATTTTTGTCTAACTCACGCTAACAATAACGCTATCATGTTCTTTCAATAATGACATATCAACATTAAGAATACTTATCTCTCAAGCTAGTATCAGAAATTGTTGGTAGCACAAAAATGGACCATTGTATCCTGCTTTTCATTTAACTTTATAGTCTTTTGGCTATATAAATAACAAAAAACCTTAGGTTAAGAGATTCCAATCTCTCTTATTGCTATCACTATTCATCTTCTTCCTTACTGTTACATTACGGACCTTCTCTTGCAATATAAACTTAATCATTTGTGGGTTTTTCATCAAACTGAAAAGACTCGTTTTGTAAGTATTTTTTTTTACACAACCTCGGTCTCTCAACGAATATTACCACTCTAACAATAGTCATCGAAGAGTCATATCATCCTCAGAGCCTACGACTTCATCAAACATAAGATTTTCTCCAAAAATATAACGTTATCAGTTTCTTTGGGCATAGAAGATGCCAAAAAAAGCGAAATTCAGAATTGATGGTAATGTTATCCCATATATATATATATATTTTTTGGGTAATATCCCTTAAAGACTAGCCACTTCCATACTTGAATGATCAATTGAGTACTCATGGTAACAGGCGTTAAATAAGAGACGTTGCTTGCCGGGTAATGGTAATGCATTAACACGGCAAATTAAAGAAGCCAAGACCAAACTCAGATGTGACCTGTTGAGGAAGGAGGAGGGCCTTCATATTGTGATCGCGGAAACGAGCATTAACGTGAGAAGGATTAATCAAAGATTTTTAGCGGCCCAGAACCTAGGATTGCCTTGGCATGACAAAATCGCACCGTGGCATTGATCATGACTTGATATCATGCAGTAAGAGTTTAGCACATGGTTGTGGTACTGGTGGCCCTAGGACATTGTCTACCCAATTGAAACTGATTTTGATGTGTGCAAATTGATGACCTGCATCATTATGGGGCTGCCAAAATTGAGGCCTTTTTGGTTCCACCAAACATTTGAAAATGGGAGCAGAGTCATGAAGAACTAGATGATGACAATAAGGTGACCACAATGTGCTATAAATTGGGAGGATGGAAAAGCTAAGAAATGTTTCCGTAAATAGGTTGATAAAGAATTAAAACTGATACCCACGATTCACCTGTAAGCGGAAGTTGCTGCAACAAAGTACCTAAAGTGCTTTATCATAAGGCAATTTGGTACGGTTAGAAAAATCTGAACTCCAACCCCAATACCCCCTGTCCACAGCTTTGCATTAACACGAGCTAATAATAATAGCAATGGTCACTGCACGTTCTATTGAGGCGTGTGGGTGGGCCTGGTTTCAACACGAAGGGACCCCCAATAGGTTACTTTGTGATTTAAGGCAACAACCTAAGTTTTCGGTAACAATTACTCGTGCCATTGGTGGCTAATGCTGGGTTCCTCCTTCAGTGACTTCATGTCACCAGTCTAATTCTCTTCTCTTAACTCGCTTCGCCTGTAGCTCACTAAGGATAAACTCGCCCGCAAATGATCTGCCAAAGACTGACTCCCTAAATCATACAATTAGCGAATTTGCCATTTCTCGTGATATAATAAGTTTAGTGCTCAACAGCAGCAGCAGAAGAAGGAACCTTGTCTCATTTCTATTTTTTCTAAAATAGAAAGCCGAAGGCATTAACCAGCAAAAGAGAGCGTTTTATTTTCATTAGATGAGATAAAATCCAAGGAGCTACAAAATCTTCGTTGCCGGTTATGAAGCTTCAGAAGAATGTAGAGCAAAGAAAAACAGAATAACAATGACAGTGATCTCATTCCACAGCATGAATTATTGGTATCGACTATCGTCAGGTTGTAATGTTTACATCATGGATGCTGTAAATCAAGGAGGTACACCACGCATGAATCCTAGGGAAGGAGGAAAAGAATCTATAATTAATAACAACGAAGCACAACAAAGCACTTTAGAATTTACAGCAAAGAACACGCATCCTCCAGCGTTGATGCCTTTTAAATTGTCTTCGGTCAGCGCTTGCCATTCTTTCAGGACTGCCAGCCCATTCCGAGGGCAATCTACACAAGGGCGAGCAAAAGCACTGACAAATTAATAAAGAAACTGAGATAGAATAATAACGAAACTGTATGGGAACCGGATTTGCATGGGAAAGCATTAGCATATGACTTATGAGCATCAGCAAACAGGATTTACATGGGAAAAGCAAACGAATGCGAGCTGGCAGTGCTTCCGCTTGAAGCAAGAGAGACACTTCCACAATATAATTCTGGAGCTGAGTTTATGGTCAGGGCTGGAGGGGGATCAACTACAGAGCAACTGGACTCTCCTTGAACATTTTCACTAACAATACTTCGACTTGAACTTGTTACGCTTCCTGACATCCAATCTTCAGGCTTGGACATACTTTTAGTTTCAATGGTCTGTTCAAAATCTGCCTCCATGTTGCTTATTGTACTGTCCACCTCACTTCTGAAATTGGCTGCACTCGTAGGGCAGTCATAATAAACTGCTTTAGTTGTGGATAATACAAAGGAGTTTGGCAGTACTGCTTCCTTACTTGGAACCCATAATTCCTATGAAATCATAAGTCGACATTTTTAAAAGCGTGACAAAGATCTTTATTAGTTCTATGAACATGCAGAAAATAAAGAAGGTTATGCAAGCAGTGTCCACTCCACACTAGTGGTTGGAAAAGTGACAGTAACTAAACATAGATCCTCTTTGGCTGTTCTGTCTCCAGCTCCAGCTATGACAAAATCCAAATTCAATATATACAGACATTATTGAGTTACGTTGCATCACAATCCTCTCAATCGAAACATCATAATTGCCTAATTTGTATGGCAAAGCCACAATTATCTCGAAGCTAGTTCTTAATGTCCACAACAACCAGCATTGCAAGATAACTCTAACTTATCCTCTCTCTCTCTCTCTCTCTCTCTAACACACACATCATCATCATCGTTCCAAGTAAGAAAAAGCAAAAGTAAATATTATCTATTGACCATAGCACTAACTGACGTGCGATCTAGATCTAATCTAGTTGGTTTCATGCTTCAGGAAAAGCATAGACTCCGAATCTCTGAATCTGAACCAAATTGCTCCTTCCTTGAAAGGAAGTAACATATCCAAAGAAAAAGGATGAACAAAATGCCAAATGCCTAAGACACTACGAACAATGTTTAAGATTTAAGAAGATGGTGTTCCTGGAAACTATAGTTTAACCATCAATCATCCACATTAACCAAAACGGTCATAAAGTAAAATGGGGTTTGCCAAATTTTAGACTTTTGTTCAACCCTTTCCACTGTTATCAAATGTTTAAAGTGTGTAGACAAGAAATCTCTTACCTCTATAACCATATGAGGTCGATGTACGTTCTTTTCTAACAGAACATCTTCTTGTCCATCAAAATCTTTCATCCATGACCCATGTTGATTAATCACGTGATTATGGCAGTCATCATCTGCCATAAATTTGGACTCATTTGAAATGGATGGAACTGAGTCCTGAGTTCCGACGGTTGATGTGCTGCTACTTTCTACATCAAAGTTAAGCATGGATGAGATAATATTATGGTCCAATTGGCAATTTTCGAAGGAACAATTATCCTTCCAGTGAACTTCTCCATCCATGAAAATGTCCTTCACAAAATGATAACTACTGTCTTGAAACAAAGCGACCATTTCTGGCATATCAGAATGCATCACATTGCTTTTAATATAAACCTTCCTTCTTCCTTTACTTTCTTCCAATTCACTGAGGCTCGTAGGATATTCTCCTCCACGTACAGGATTCACCCAAGCCATACAAGCATCTACTCCTGGTTGGTTGCTGGCCACTGCTTGTCCCTTCTGTCTACGTAGTTCTGAAGCAGTCCTCTTATCCCCTTTTAATCCTCTTATCTCCTGAGAGTTGTCAATGAATTTGAAAGACTTGTAATGAGGCTTACTGGCCATGGTTGAACACCCACACGTGGATTCACTGGCTGGAACTGATGTGTGTGTGTATATATGTCAGTGCAGATGATATAAAAATAAAGAGAGAGAATAATTTTTTATAACTAATTCATGTTGGGGAAGGATAATTGAGAAACATGTTTTATTTAGAGAGGATCGTGGTTGAACACCCTTTTTCTATGTGGGAACTTATGCTTTAATATTGGATATCTTGTAGTGAAAATCATAACTTTTCTTTCATCAACATGCTCCATGCCTAGTCCTCTTTGGAATGGAGTATTTTTATTGTTGCAAATCTGCCTCTTAAGAATTCCTGGATAATCTAATTCCTCAATTATGGATATGCAATTAGGTGAAAGATACATAGTGATTTGAAGGATCGTGGAGAACTTACTTGAAATGCTACCAGATGAAATTTGAACAAAATAAATAAAGATGAAAAACAGATCATCATAGCAGCCAGTTCAAGCTAAATAGAAACTCACAGGGCATTAGATTTGTCTCTAAAGCAATCAGTCAGCTGCACCTCTCCATAAAGAATCATTTCTTTTAATGCCTACGCAGCATTGAACATAATTATGAGTTGATTTTTCACAGCATCGAACCAAATATTTGCCAAAAAGAAAAAAAGAAAAAAAGAAAAAGAAAAAAGAAAAGAGAACAATTTGGGACCTTGGTAGTTAGTACTGACAAAGGAATGGTAGAACTTGTATTCTGTCATTCCCTAAAAACTCAATGTATAAGAGAAGGCTACATGGATAAGTACATTGCTCAGATAAGGAAAGAAATAAAATGTGAGAAATTACTTTGACTGAGGCATGATTGCACTTTTTTGCGCTAACAATTAAGGCTTCGATGCCAATGAATTTAAGTAACATTCACCTAATTGAGTTGCATTACAGAAAATGATAACTATCAGTTGTCATCTGATTTTTTTTTTTTTTTCTCTTAAGATAGTATTTTCCTTGTTATTATTACTATCTGAGTTGAGAACTTTGATTATAATCAGGAAGGGAAATAGCATTCCGGCCAATGTTACGCAAAACTGTGATTATAAAGGAAGAAGATTTCTTCAAAGCAGCAACTTAACCAGGATTATACTGCAATTCAAAGTCCTGAACACCGAATGCATGCATGAAAAGGTGAGACAATAGTATTTGTTATCCTTTCTTCATATGAAAAATTGGACAATATGCACAGAAGAATGACAGGAAAAACATTAATAAAATTAATAGATTAAGAAGTTGAACAGGGATCGCTTACAGGCTACAAGTTCAATGTCTTCCAGTATCTTCTCCCTGGCAAGCAAGATGGTATAAACCTTGAAAAGTGCAAACCCTTGCAACAGAAGGTAAGAACAAAACACAACAGGGTTCAACCCCACTGAATCTGTAAGAACAACAACAGGCAAACTCATTATTAGACGATAAATGTTATCATGCCTCTGAAGTCAAAGAGAAAGCAAAGAAATAATCAAATACCACCAATTACTTCAAAAGAAGAAGCATCAAGTCATGGAGGGTAAGTATTGGAATATAAAAATAGCTTGATTAGCATAATCATATTCCAAAATAAACAAGAACACTCACTGGCACAGAAATAAAGGTGTCCAATGAAGGAATACAATAAGCATGACAACCCAGCACAAGACAATGGTGATTACTATATTTTACAAGGGGTTTTCTTATGATTTTTAACTAGCAAAATTTCATTATTTCAGCATGAAACTAGTTTTGTGTAGGAAGCAATCACAATCAACCTGGACCAAGCTACCCATTTTTTTATCTCATAAAAACAGTTATTTGCCGATCTGTATCCGTAATTCCCGACCTGTTTTATTTAAACTAAGGTTTGCACCATTGACTGTCAGGAAAAAAAAATTATGGTTGTTCTGTTCTTATTGTTTCTTTTTTCCAGTGTGTGTGAATTGCTGCATCACAAACGTCAAACTCTATCTGCTCTGAAAACAAACCATGAAAAGGGCAAATTTTGTTTTTATTTTTATTTTATTATAGATGGCCTGCCCTTTGATAAATTTGGAAGGGTGGACCTAATTTTTTGTCGAGAATAAGTTGATTCAAGCGTACCACCGAACCTTGGTCTTGTTTAGGCAGTTGCTTTTAGATATTCTGAAAAGCTAAAAGAGCTCGAGGCTCGAACATGCCCGTAAGTAATTGGCAGAAGACAGATTAGAGGATTCTGGTTTCAATAAAATATTCTCATTAACAAAATGAAAAAAAGAATGTGCTATCATGAACTAATACTAAGAGACAAGCAAAATAAATTATTGAAAGAGCAGATTAAGAAAATATAGCTGAGCAGCCACATACCATTACCTCATATGGCAGACTATTTGGTGAGAGAATAATCTACATGATCGGATCGGAAGATCGTGTTGGCTTATAAAACTTAAAAACCATAAGAGAAGTACAAAACAGCGGGGAGAAATACAAGTGCACTAGAGCAGGCAACTCCAGAAAATAGCACAGGAATGGATCACTTCTTCTACCACATTAATTCAAGAAGCAGTTAGACAGAAAGGTGGGTGTGTGAAATGGACAGTTGATAGGTAAAAACTTAAATTAAAATAGCAGCAGAAGCAACAGCTCTTAAATTCTAAATTCCAGTAGCTTGGCCAACAAAAATTTGAGAGAATAATTCTAAATACCTGTAACTTGGCTTACCGAACTTTGTGAGATTAATATATGAGCAATCACTGATCCTTTATAATTCCTTTAAGGTTAATGGTCGCAGGGTCTCCCTCTCTCTCTTTTTTTTTTTTTTTTTGTCTTTAAGTTTGTTTTTTTGTCAACCGTTTGGACTAATAGTGTTAAATCATACAGTTAGTATTAGAAAATAATATAAATCATATCTTTAGGCCTTATTTAATAGTTTAAGCTTTTTTAGTGAGACGGTTTTTGGACATGGTATACAATCGACCGTCACGAATTCGAATCCTACCACTCCTACTTTTTCTTCTAATTAATTAAACACAAGGTAGTGTTGTCCGTACAAGTTTTAAGCGCGAAGGGTTTTACTTGAGGGAGTGTGTTAGAAATAATATAAATCATATTTTAAGACCTCACCTAGCGAGCTTAAACTTTTGAATAAGATGGTACTTTGACGAGTTAGCCCCACAAAATTACAACACATGTTAATTTTATTTTTTAAAAAATGCTAAAAAAAGGTGAAGATAAAAATATTTTTTATCCGAAAGAGTTTTAGTTGAAATTTTAAATGGTCTTTATAAAATAAAGATTACACCGGTGGTCCAAAAAGTCAATAAAGTGATGGACTTAAAGACATAAACTAAATATAAAAAGATGAATTTAAGATTAAAAAAAATATACAATTAAAACTAAAGAAAAAATAAAAAGACTCTTGTGATCATTAACCCCTTTACTAGTGCCTAAGAATCAACTAATCATAATAGAATATTATATTCTATCATGAGAATATGTTTCCTGTGAACATATAAAGATGTATTGGTTTTTTTATTTTTATTTGAGAAGTGTATTATTCTAATCTATAAAGCATATATATATAATAGTGTTTGCCAATTTTTAAGGATTTACTTAATATTTAATAGTTAGAATTTACAAAGCACGTATATATTTATTATAAGAATTCTTATTAAATAATCTTTGAAAATATTGTATAGTTTTTTTTTTTTTTAGTCTTGAAGCAAGTAGGTGCTTGTCATTTGTATGGTGATGTGGGTGACTTTATATCCAATTCTAGAGATGATAAAATGAAGAAAAATAAGATGTAAATAAAAGTAGCATAAAAAGCACACAATCACACAAAAACATGCAAACAATCATATAATAAAAGCAATCATAGCATATAAAACAGTTAGTAAATATAGCAAATAAAATCAAACAAGTCACCTAAAAATCAACCGAACATGCATATAAATTCATTATATAAATAGAGATCATGCTCATGAAAATACATACAAAACTTAACCCTTGACTCTTTGGTGGAGTCTTCATTCTACAGTAGGTGGGCACGGAACAACGAGAATTAAATAGGAAAATGACAAAAAAAAAAAAAAGAGTTGTCAATTAATAGTAAAAATAACTAGAAACCCTAAATAACTTGTTTGTTTAGAAACCTTAGATAAAGGGTTTATGACACAAGAGTGTGGCCTATTCCATGTCAATTAGCCAAACATTTAAGATCATTACGGGCTGAATTTACGTAACTTTATTTACTTTTTTTATTTTTTTATTTTAGATATTTTATTTACATAAGGAGTTCTATATATGATGGGAGTTATTTTAGAGTTCATATTTCTTTGAAATTGGGCTAGATTAATGAGTCATTATTTAGTTTGGATTGGATTTAAAGTTATTGAGTCCAAATAGGTTAGGTTATTATTTTTCCTAGCTAGCTAAATTTTAGGAGTAGTATTTAAGCATCCTTATATACTATGGAGAAATAACTTTGATTTTCGATGGAATAAAACTTTGTGAGAGTTTTCTCCTAGTTGGCGTACTCTTGTGCTTTGCTTAAAGTCGTGTTTTCTATATCTTAAGGTAGTAATGGTGATCGATATTAACTAAAGAAGCGGTGGGATTCTAAATCTCGTAGAACTCATAAAAATTACAATATTTAGCTAAAGTTGTAGTAGAGTTTTAAATCTCGCCAAAATCAATCAAAACTAGGGTTACTCATTGCTTAAGAAGTTTCGATCTTAACTAACTTTTAGGGTTAGAAACTTTTAGATTTCATTAAACTTGTGCATGGAGGTTTCGATTTCCTTGGAATATGGGTGTTGATTTTTGACTTTCAATAAACTAAGGTTGGATATTTCGACTTTGATCTAAATCATCACAAAATCGATGTTAGTTGGTTACATGAAGGAAAGATAATAATCATCCCTCAATGTCCTATATGAGGTAGGTTGCGTTATCCGATATTCTAAATATTTATTTCTAGTTTTTATTATGCTAAATTATCTATTTCTATTTAGATGTATTTGTCATCAAATTAAAAGCTAATCAATCAAATAATTTATTACTTTGCTGATCAAATGCCTTATCCATACTCTAGAGTAAACATGTACTAATCTAGAAGAAAAATAAAAATGAGATTAAACTCATTCATATCATCAATTGTGCTCGAAAGCTTTTATTCATGCTCAATGAACCCTATATGGGATCAAAATGATCCTGTCTTAGTATGCATATTTGCAAATGAAAAAAAAAAAAGAAGTTAAATTGACAATCATTTTGCAAATGTATAAAAAATAATTTATTTATCAACAAAAAATGAGCAAACCGACCATGACATTGCTAATCATGAAATCATAAAATCTAACAAATCGATAATGGCATTGCAAATCATGAAAATAATAAAATATGGTGAATCAATGATGACATTGCAAATCATAAAATAAAAAAATAGCAAACCAATAATGGCATCACAAATCATAAAATAAAAAACATAAAGAACCGACAATGTCATTACAAATCATTTTCATGAAATCAAGAAAATCGACAATAACATAACAAGTCAATAAATTGAAAACGTAGCAAACCAACAATGACATGCAAATAACAAAATGGAAAACATAGCAAAAGAACAATGTCATTGCAAATCATTTTCATAAAATTGAGTGAATCGACAATGACATAAAAAATCAAAATAATAAAAAGAAAACTTAATGAATCAACAATGACAACATAAATCATTTCATAAAATCAAGCAAATCGATAATGAGATCCCAAATCACAAAATAAAAATCATAGCAAACCGGTAGCGACACCATAAATTGTTTTTGTGAAATCGATCGAACCAACAATGACACCATAAATCACAACATAAAAAACATTGCAAACTGATAAAATATTGCAATTCATTTACGTAAAATCTAGCAAACCAACAATGGCATCACAAAATTATTCTCAAAGAATTCGTTTGACAACAAATGAAACCAAGCCGATAATGGCCACACAAATTATTTTTAAAGAATTTGTTTAACAAAAAAAAAATATCAAGCTAATAATGGGAACACAAATTAATTTTCATAACTTGTTTGAAAACGAACAAAAAAAAAAGGCACAACGAATGAGAATCAAACCAAAAATAGCGAAAAAATAAATCATTTTTTCAGAACTTGTTTGGCAATGAACGAGAATCAAACCAAAGAGGCAACACATATCATTTTTTTAAATCATTTGACAATGAATGAGCCTAAAGCTAAAAATCGCAACATTTATAATTTTTCGTAAATCGTTGATAATAAACGAAAATAAAGCCGAAAGCGACAACACAAATAATTTTATATACTCGTTCAACAAAGAATGAGAGTTAAGTCAAAAAATGGCAAAACATGTCATTTTTCATGAATTGTTTGTCAACAAATGAAAATTAGCCAACAACAACCTCACAAATCCTTTTTAACAAATCGTATACTTTTAAGATGAATTAATCGTATTATCATTTATGAAAGATCATATTAACCACTAGTTTCACCTTAATCCTCATAAGGAATCACATAATCACATCACACCAACATCGAATTCATGTTGGATAATCCCTTTAGTTAAATCTCATTCTCATCCTTCTAACTCCATATTAGAGTATTAAGTCCATCATTATTTAACGTCAATATAACAAGCGATCTCAAATCCCTCGAGTTTAATATGCATCAACATATTGCAATAGTTCAAATTATTTTCATAATCAATTCATAATAATAAAAAAAACTTGAAGTAATTTTTAAAATAATATAGATAGTCAAAACTTACTTAAAGAGGTAAAAAATGA